GAATTGAATACGTTTTAAATGATTGAAAATTTTGAGATAAGTAAACAGACTTGATTCTATCAGACCAGGTTGTCGCAAATAAAATTCAAACCACGGATATCTGTTAAAAATTCGGACCGGCACTAAGCGTCTTTGATAAACATACTGCACTACTGACTAATATGTAAAAACAGATAAAAACACAACGTAGAGTGAGGTGGCGAATGTCGCCTCATGACATCTCATGTACTTGGAGAAATTGCGCAGATACAATTTGTAACTATAGCATCAACCAATAAGGTTATTAATTAACGCCCGGTGAAAAGAACTGGATGTACCATTTGAGAAATAAGTTAGTTCTTTAAAACGTCCAAAATATAACTTTGAGGCACGGAACTCATTTCTGATTGTGTAGTTCCATGGTCCTGGTCTTTTGGAACAAAGTAACTTGATCCTTCGTTCGAGCAAAGGAACATAACCCCCCAGGTTTCTTAGTCGGCGTAAGCGGGGTTAAGCGCGATGGATCGTTTGCCGGTACGCCCTCCGAAATTTGAATTTCTTCCTCATCCCCCTCAACAAAGTTGAATGAGTGCAGTAGAGGGTCACCAAAGAACGGGTAGGCTTTTTAGGTCTCGGCGATGATCTTGGTGACTTCTCTGGGTGCTGTTCTCCCTTGTAAGAGCCGTCGTCATTTTCTGTCTCCCTTGTTGGACCTGTCGTCCCTTACGGTTGAAAGCGCCGGAGCATGCCACTCTGGACTGTTCGTTCAACTGTCTTCTGATTGAGCGAGAGTGTGGGCCCTGGTTCACGCACTTTCCTGGGTTTGGGCGATATTGTATGCTGACTTGAAGGTCTAGACGCAATCCACCTAGACCTAAAGTGACTAAGACGCAATCAGTCCGATTCATCTTATGTCCCTGCCGAAGCTGATAACTCACAAAAGTTAGTGTTTGGTCTAAAACTTACATGCATTTTTCCGGTTTATTTCCCCTTTGTCAATAATGTATGTATATTTCGTAATTCGCACAAACTAGAAATAAGCAAACTTGAATTACGGTTTGCCAGAATTGCCATCAATGAGTTTTCAGAAAACTTTTAGAATTGTCGTGTTTTCTAAAAGTGATTTTGTTTGTTTACGGGTTGTTAGAGTCCTTTAGGTCAGAAAAAAGACGCTCTACTCAGTCATTGAGTGTGCGAGAGTGCCTGGCGTAGTCACAAAACCGCAACTTTTTTTGTGATCCCAGATTTTTGAAAGTTTGCAAGATTGGGATTTCTGGATACCAATTCATTAAGCAATTCTCGGCCTTGATGGCAAAGAACGTTTTGTTTAGCCGCACCACAAAATTGCTGCCATGTCTTACTCCTCTAACGCCTTGCACGATTAGCTATCAGCAATCCCTCACACCATCCCAACATCAGCTGAAATCGGTTTGATATGTCAAGACTATTCGTGGCTCTACGAGAGATAGTTTTGCCCGACCTCTGCTGTAGCTCGCATGTTGTTCTGGCGTGCGTCAGAAGTTTTTGAGCTGAATATAGAGAATTAACAAAGTTATCTGGTATGTTAGAATACTCAGTATTCAGAATTTGCCCAAAATAAAACTCAAAAGGTGATTTTTTCACTGTTGCTTGATTCTTATTTCTGATATCGTTTATAATTTGTTGAAGAGTAGATTTCAGACTTTCGAAATTCTGAACTTTCAGTACCCAATTTTTTCTTGATGATTCAATTTGACCTTTCTACTAGACCACGACCACTATAATTCCGGAAGGTGTGAGGATGTATTTAAAGTTTCTGTTCTCGCAAAATTCTTTTACTACGGCGCTTTTAAATCCTGTTAAAATGTACGTTCTGATTTATTCCGGGATATCCTTATTCCAAAAATTCGAGCTTAGATTTTTTTTTACTTTTTTAGTTAGTAACAATAGCGGCTAGTATATGCACATTCCCTTTTTTTCATCGATTGATGAACCGACAAACTTAAATTAAAAATCTTGATTCTGGTTGCAGATTCTGGTTGCAGCTTAGAAAACTTATATTGTTTTGAAATTTTGATGTTCGTACCAGACAGGGAATACTCCGGGCACTTCTTACATGTGTTCACTATTTGGCGGTTCAATAGAGATACCATATATACTCAGAGGCATATATCAAGGCTGTTTGTCCCGCATGGGACCAATGATTTCTGGCGAGGGCTGCACCACTACGAACATATTCGGAGATCACAAGCATGTTGTCAACAGCTGCCTAGGCCGAAAATGTGCCATATACGACCCTAATTTGCTGCGGGACTGCACGTCCTTGTTGATAATTGTCGTACGCATTGGGCCTAAGAAGTGATCTTCCCCTGTGAGTTGGGAGAGCAGATCCCCATCAAAGAGCTCATGGAACCAAAAGAGCTTCCTCTTGTCTCGTCTGAGTAACGGCTTTCATCATTTGATTGCGTGTATCCTCACCTGGATCAAAAACTGCTCTTGAGTCATCTTGGTCAGGCGTTGTCTGAGATTTTTATCCAGAAAATGCGCCGAGCTGTTCCGGGCAGAAGGCTTCCTTTTCATTCCAAAACCTTCTTTTGATTGTCTCACTATGGCTGTGTTTCTTACTCGTGTTATATCAATTCGACTGGGTCGGCTTGCTGAACCCGGGTTTGACGACGACGCATATACTTTATGACTGGGAGTTCTCTATAAAAATCCCTATGAAGTTTAGTAGCTTCGCCGGTTCAATCTTCGTGCTGGCAATGTGAATATTGCTGCTCGAAGCGTTTGAGAGATCAACTGCAATGTATTTATCATGAAACTTGATGTCGAGTTGAAAGACCAACGACAATGATTTTTGTGAAGGCTCAACAGTTTTTCACGATGTCCATTTTGCATATCGGCCTCCGATTGGTTGATCACTCGCGTGCTTCAAATATTATATGCGTCTGCATACTGCACTTTGGTTGGGTAAGACCTTAATGCGTATCTTTGACGCCTTTTCCCTTAGAAACCGAAGGAAAGTTGCTGCAATTTGATTGGTTGATTCAACTGCCGCAATCTGATTAAAGTTTTTTAGTAGAGTGACAGCCGGTTTCGCTTGAAGCTTTTCCAAACGTTCTGGTAGGTTGAAACTTCCTCAAATAGTAAATTAAGCAAATTGGAGCAATTTTCGCCTGTTTTGTTGAGATTAATAAGTTAGGTGCAGTTTTAAAGCTTGTATGGATTTAACTACGAATAGCTCATCAAGTTAGGATGGTTTTAGGGCTTCGGATGGTTTTAGGGCTCCAAGTACTTGTCCATCTT